CGCCCTGGTGGGACCGAGGACCCTCCAGCGCCCTCCTGGCCGCGCTCCCCCGCCCAGCCCCGGGGCCGCCGCTGCCCCAGCCCGGGCTCCCGGCCCGCGGACCCCGCTCACCACCGCTCCCGCTCCGCTCCCGCCGGGCCGCGCAGCCGCGGGTCGGGGCCGGGGGGCGGGACCGGAACGCGGCCGCGGGGCCGGGGGTGACTCGGGGCGTGCTCGGGGTTGGGGTTGCGGGGGGACCCCCCCGCGCCCCGCCTGCGCCTCCGCCCGGCGCCCGCAGCAGCGCGGGGCGGGACCAGCGGTTTCGTTTCTGCCGCAGCGAGCGGGGAGGGCGAAACAGAAAGGAAAGATTCCGATAAAGAAGCCGCCGGCAGGGCCGTTCAGGCCCGCAAGGGCGCCCGGCACTGAACCGCCCCGCAGCGCCGGGGACGCGGAGTCGCGGACCCCTGTGCGGGAAATGCCCGCAGAGAACCGTCCCCCAGCACTGCCAAGGCCACCACTAATCCATGTCCCCAAGAGCCACACAGCTTTTAAACCTGTACAGGGATGAGGACGCCACCGCTGCTGCCCTGGGCAGCTGTGCCAGGGCTGGACAGCCCTTTTGGGGAAAAAAGTTTCCCAATATCCAACCTAAATCTCCTCTGGCACACCTCGAGTAACAAATCAGGGGCAGTGTGTGTGACTTCAGCACTGACAGGAGCTGGGCTGTGCCTCAGCTTCCTCTTGGGTGAGGTGGCACAAGGCACTTCAGCAGCAGTCAGTGCCCACCTTTCAGGACTTTTACACTCTGGCAAAATAATACTGAGGATTATTTATTATTATTAATTATTATTATGCTGGGGGATCACACAGACGATTTTGCTCCAAGCAACCATTAACATTGTGCAGGCCCGGGGTTCAGCATAACCTGGGCCGAGGGGAAGTGAAGGCGCCGGGCAACCAGGGAATGTTGGGCCTGGGTCACCCCTCTGGTTGTGATGTCATCACGGGTCACAATCCAGAACCAGCGAGTGTGTTCAGCGCTGGACGTTTGCAGACAACGCCAGAGTGCTCCATGCGCGTCAGCGAGGTCCACTGCCTCTGACTCCAACGTGGGGGATAGCTCAGCACCCACCAGACAGTCATCCTCCAACATGGAGAGGGAGATGAGCGAAAGGAATTGGAGCATCGCCAATGAGCTCCGCCTGGAAGGGAGATTCTGCGACGTGATCATAAGCGTAGATGGAGTGGAATTCAAGGCTCACAAGGTCATCCTCTCTGGTTGCAGTATCTACTTCAGGTCAGTACTGGAAACACAAGGATTTATTTACAAGGGCCTGGAGTGACAGGACAAGGGGTAATGGCATCACACTGACAGAGGTTTATATTAGATATTTGGAAAAAATTCCTCCCTGTGAGGGTGGTGAGGTCCTGGCACAGGTTGCCCAGAGAAACTGTGACTGCCCCATCTCTGGAAGTGTCCAAGACCAGGTCGGATGGGGCTTGGAGCAACCTGGTCTAGTGGAAGGAGTTCCTACCCATGGCAGGGGTTGGAATGGGATAATCCTTAAGGTCCCCTCCAACCCAGGCCATTTTGTGATTTTATGATTCCTGTGGAAGCATGGGGGCCGTTCGCCCTGGTGCTCCCTGTCCCCAGCCAGAGGCTGTATCTCCTTTTTCAAACAACCTGCAAGTAAAACATTAATTAATAAACTATGGGACCTCCCAGCAGGGCTCCTGCCAGTGCCTAAACTGTTGCCCTGGGAGTTTGGGAAACAAGGGGACCCAAGGACAGGATTTAATGCAGCAGTGCTGTGTTTTCAGGACTCTGTTTACCAACTGCGCAGACAAGATGGTCTATAAAATCCCCGGTGTTTCAGCTGAAATGATGGGTCTCATCATCGATTACGCCTACACTGGGACAGTACCGATCAGGGAGGACAACGTTGAGAGTTTGCTGGCTGCAGCAGACCAGTTCAACATCATGGGCATCGTCAACCTGTGCTGCGAGTTCCTCAGTTCCAGGCTGTGCTTTGAGAACTGCATTGGCATCTGCAGATTCACTGACTATTACTACTGCCCCGACCTGCGCGCAGCAGCCTGTGTGTACATCCTGCACCACTTCGAGGAGGTGTCCCAGGTGTCCAAGGAGTTCCTAGACCTCTCTGCTGAGGAGCTGGCACACATCATCGAGAAGGACGAGCTCAACGTGAAGCGAGAAGAAGCCGTGTTCGAGGCTGTGATGAGGTGGATCGCTCACGACCCGCAGAACAGGAGGCGGTACATCGCCTGCTTGCTGGGCAAGGTGGGTGCAGCACAGCTTCAAAGCTGTCCCCAAAGGCTGCCGAGGGGGAAACCATCAGCATTAGTATTCTAACCTCCTCCTTGCATGTTCCAGGTTCGACTGGCACTCCTACAGTCTGACTACTTCATGAACAACGTCAAAGCTCACGAGTACGTGAAGGACAATGCTGAGTGCAAAGATCTCATCATCAGTGCCCTGTCAGAAATCTACAACCTGAACTTGTATGGCCAGAGCTCCTCAGCCAACGCCAACCCATTCACCCGGCCACGCCTGCCCTACGCCATCCTCTTTGCCATCGGGGGCTGGAGCGGGGGCGGCGCCACCAGTGCCATTGAGACATACGACGGCCGCACCGACGAGTGGCTGAACATCCCCTGGGAGCAAGAGAACCCTGTTGCCTACCACGGCTCGGCGTATTTGAAAGGCCACGTCTATGTCATTGGCGGATTTGATGGCACACATTATTTCGACATTGTCAAGCGGTTTGACCCACTCCAGAAGACGTGGCAGCAGGTGGAACCCATGCACTCGCGGCGCTGCTACGTCAGCGTCACCGTCGTGGACAACTTCATCTACGCCATGGGAGGGTTTGACGGGTACATATGGCTCAACACAGCAGAGCGCTACGACCCAGACACCAACCAGTGGACCCTGATCACCCCTATGCACGAGCAGAGGAGCGACGCCAACGCGACCACGCTGAACGGAAAGGTAAACGGACGGGGAGAGGATGGAGAGTTGCAACATGAAGAAAGTTCACATAAACCTTCACTGAATTTGTAACAATTCATTAAATCCTGGACCTACAGATATAAAACAGCATCTACCTCATGTGGCAGAGATGTGACCAGGAGTGTGAAAACTCTTCTGGAGCTGCTGCCCCGCAACAACCCACCTGGTGCCCGCCAGCCCTTTTCCT